AGGAGGCCTGCGATAGAGCTGCTGAATGCTTGAAGGGAGTCCTTGAGGAACCATGGTCAGTCACACCGTGAAGAGGGGTGCATCAATGTCTATGCCGGAAGTGGATCGCTTGCGATGGACGCGGTAAACACAGACATACAAAGATCTGATAGCTGCAGTTCGTTAGTCAGAATCATGGTCGAGACCAAGTTTACCAGACTTACGGGGTGTAGTCTTCAGTGACACTGTGCGGATATCCAGTGGGGAGGAAGACGTCAGCAAGGATGTCCAGTATTGCCTTGGAAGACCATGAAGTTGTTGATAAGCTGGAGGGATCATGCTGGAAAACCGTATCAGCTCACATGTCAGTTGTAGCACTCGATCGCTTTCACACGAGTACCATTAGAGAGGGCAAGGCTATTTCAACTGACCAGAAGATCTATACGTCCGCTGTTTGCACGGCCGTTGCTATGCTCCAATGGCAGAGAGCGAGTTGATTGAGTGTAGACATAAGTGGCTGTAGGATGGTTGGCTTCATCCACTTCGTTAAAGGTGATGGGCTCCGAGCCCCTGTTGAAAGCCATTCTTTGTGTTTTAAGACGTTTGCGCTGCACTTTTTCTTTTTTCTTACAGAAAAAGAGAAAGGCCCGAATCGACCAGGATTCGGGATCTCAGGGTTGATTGAAGATGGTGCAAAGTTCCATGTGCAAAGAAGATCCAGTCATGTATGTTGGTTGATTGGAGGTTGATGGGAGGTTGATGGGAGGTTGATTGGAGGTTGATTGCGTGGTCGAGACCGACGACGCTAGGACCCCTGCAGCAGCACGTGCAAAGAGATCCCTATCTATACTCAGTGCGTTCTTGGATCACCGCTAACCCTGACATCCTCGGTATCCTTGGGCCTCTATCTTTACGGCAGCTAACGCAGTAGAAATTAGGAATCATCAAGGCTGTAGAATTCCAGATTCATGATTGAATCCCATTGGTTGAACTCTCCCAAGTCTCATCATAGACACCAAAGTATCTCCGCCCGTGTACAAACCCTATTTCCAGCAGACTTTTCAATCCGGATCAACGAATCAGCTATACACAAGAGTCTGAATAGATCTCAATAGACCTCAGCATGTCCCAAACAGACAGAGAAAAGATTATCCCACATGTAGCAAGCACGCCCCAAACGAAGAACAAAAATTTTAAACCGCTAAGCATGAAGACGAGTAACCACCAGCGCCGTGTTCGAATCAGAGAATGAGAGAAGCAGTGGCGAAAAGAAGAGAAGAGGGACCGGATCAGCTTCCAGGTTGGGCACGCCGACTGAACGACCCATCACCCGTATAAGACAGTGCTTCGGGTCCCGAAGAAAGTGACGTGCAAGTTGAGGTGATGCGAGAGAAGACGGTGACCTTCAGAGTCACTGGTAGTCCTTCCTGACGCGGGCGCGCAGGTGCCGTGGTCCAGGCCACCAGTCTCTCATCGCAGCGTGACATCATGTGTCGTGCATCCCGTCAATGTTAAATGACCTTTATCGTCTCGTCATCTCCTCATTGGACATTCTTGAGCACCTAGGCGAACAGGCTGGCACCACCGGTTTCAATGGCCTCAATCTCGGCCTCGGTCCAGGGCAGACGGTGGAAACGGGAGGGGAGCTCAGTACGGTCGAAGAATTCACCCTGCTTGGGCTGGATGGGTCCCAGAGAAGCGCCCGAGGCGCGACCGATGCCCTGGGAGAAAGAGGCACGACCCAGGGGACCGTGCTGCTGAGCCTTAGAGCGATAGGCGGCGAAGGAATCAGGAAGGACACCAGTAGGGGAAGCCGGGTGAGCACGAGGAGTGTGGTCAATGGACTCTGGTAAGACGCGCGTTAGACAACTGAATCCGTGAACAAGTCAGACAAGACGGAGAGACCAACTAGGCACAGAGCGCTTTCCGAGGAAACGAATGAGAGGGGTGCGAGCAGCGTTACGGAGAACCATGGTGGCGTGCATTATGAGAGTGTAAAATAAGATCTTTGATCAAGTTATATCGGCTGGAAAAGAAGTCTAGGGGAAGAAGAAGACAGGCGTGTTGAGCAACCGAGCGAGCTTTCCGGGACTGTCCGAAGCGACCGATGTGGGCGATAAAACCGGTTGGAGAAATGAGGAAATGAGCAGGGGCGGGAAATTGATCGTAGGTACGGCAAGCTGGTGTATCCCAAAGATGAATTCGGGGCAATTATATAGGCAACAGGCGGGACAAGATTGTGTATGTTGTGTATGTATAGAGAAAGAGGAAGATTTAGGGAGGGGTGGAGGGGATGGGAGAGGAATTGAATTAAGTGAAGACAGAGGAGGAGCAGGAGGAGCAGGAGGAGCGAGAGGAGGAGAGGGGGAGGGTGGAGGGAGGAAGTGGGAAAAAAAGGCGAATGGAACACGACGTCGGTCGGTGATCGGTCGAGTCCTCGGGGAGCGGAAGCGAGGGTGTGGGTTTTTTTCTCTTCTGATAAGCTCCTCCTACGCATACGAGTAAGTCTGTATGGAGTGAGAGTTAACTGTTAGTTAATGACGGGCTATTAATTATTAACAACAACAACCACACCCGCCGGCCGCCGGATTTTACCCCCCGAAAGGCTAAATTCTCCCCTTCTTCTTCTTCTCCTCCCCCCCCCAAGCTGCGATCATCTCTCGATTGATCTCGCCAGGCGGAAAACATTCCTCTTTCTGTGGCATGATCTGACCATCAATCAGTCACCTATTCACCTATCAATGAAGCCATCGGCCGCTAGACCGCTGGAGGGAATCCAGGGATGTGTTTCCCCTCATCTTTCCCCAAATCAACGGCTCCGAAGGACGTCGGGCTGCCCCGAGCTTTGCCTAAACCCGCAATCTCGGTGAAGGAGGCGTGCCTGACTAAAGCAGCCTGTGAGGGCTGCAGTCACTTGGGTCACTATGGTGTAACCAGTCTTATCTTGACATTTAACTTATGTGCTACTGTAAAGTACGTACGAGTCCATTGTCTGATTACCCATCTGGCGTGATCATCACGTTATGGCCTGGGGCAAAGGGAGGAGGAGGGGGGCATTTTGACTTTCCCCCTCCCGGATGTTCATCCCCGCATCATGGATCACATATACATACTATCCGTCCTATGTACAGTAGAGTACTTACAGTAGATAGTAGTATAGTCAATTCATTAGCATGGAGTCGTAGTACTTTAGTCTGAGTAGGTACATGTCCCACCAATATAGGGAACTAACTATAAGACTAGCACTGATTCTTTTTGTCCTTCATCACTACGCCGGAGAAAGTAGGGTACTGTACTACCGTAGTACTCATAGTACCATTGATCTACTAGGTACTCCGTAGTAGGTACGTACTACCTCTGGGTCTCGGAAGAAGTGCCGGGTGGAAAATTTCCCTTCTTGGGACCGATTCCTATCCCGGGTTTACCCGTATTCCCTGCCTGGGCTTTCTTGGGAGCTTCAAGGCTCCAAGGCTCGAATCTCCAAGCTATTGGAAAGCTTACCTAAAATCCCTCCCCAAACCACCGACCTCCCAGAAGCACCGACAGAATCACGGCGCCGAACCTGCTAGACGGAGTTAGGCACACCTTATCCCCCTTCTTCCCTTTTTCCCCCCTTGATCCCGGATTTATTTCTTCTTAGTCTCGATCTTTCTTTAGTTCCCTTGTGACCATGCATGAGCTTCTGCTCTTCGCCTCGGTCCCAGCCCATCAGCACCATGAGCTCCTCCAACAGCTGGCCGGCTTAACAGCCATGCAACCGCGTCACCGCTTGGAGAGACGGCTGGTCTTTAAGGCCTATCGCAAGCCAGGCCTTGTCACCACCCGTGTGGGAGCCAGTCAGGATGTGCAGGGCGCCGACCTGCAACGTTTGAACAAGATGTTGAATGGGGGCATGTACTACACCCAGGTCGTTGGCCCTGTGACCAAGGCGGATTTTGGCGCGACCTCTTTGTCGGGCATGTCAGCCTCCCATGATGCAGATGTGTCTATGTCTGGAACCGATCAGTCCTCCTACTGCTACGAAAACCAATCCTGGAAGCTGGAGTTCAGAGACATTCCCGAGGCTGGTACTCGATCGGCTGTGACCACTCGCTTGATGGCAAGTGCAAGCTTGCCTAAAGGTGATATTGCAGTTCCCATGAATGCCTGGGGCTATAGGTCGGTCTCTCCCCCGTAGCTGATACGCCCATCACTTCCCCGCTCGTACCTTGAAGACTGCAGACGAACGAAACTGACCTGGAATGTCAGTTTTGTTACCGAGTACATGGTAGAAGGAGATGTCTTCGTCCAGAATGATATCGTCATCTTCCTCCATCGCGTCTTGCTGTATCCCCAGGCGGAGTCGCAGGATTTACATGGCCCTCGACGGCAGCTACCTGCTCATCACGAGCTCACTCCGCTCGAGCGAACGGGTAGTTACGTCCTGCAAGCCGCAATTACTGTCCAGGACGGAAGCAACCAGGAAATGATGAAGACGGCTTCTCAGCATCTGTTCGGGCTTCGAGAGCAACTCAAGTCCGCTGTACGGCTCGAACAAGCGGATAGGCTGTCTCTGGATACCCGAGCGAAGTAACTGATGCATCCTGGCGCTTGCTTCTTTCACAATGTTTTATACCCCCGGAGCTATGTTGGCTCTCTGTTCCTGTGGTTTAGCTCTGTTATCAATGTACATCCGATGCTTCAGACGAATATTAAGTAGGAGTAAAGTCGCAAGATGTATTTGAGAACCAAGAAGATACCAGCTGACGACCTAAAACATTATAGTCGACTATAAACATATCAGTCTTTGGCGGTTGCACTGATCGGCTTGGGTGATTCCCGCAATTTTACATTTGAGCATGTGACTTCGTGATGGCTTTTCGCGTGTACCCGCGCGTCTCCCTTCCACTTTTCGACTCGTGCATCGAACCGGGCACACTCTCCCAATCACCAGGTGCCCATTCAGTTCGTCCGTGTCGCTCAACGCCCATTAGAAAAGCAAAATCACCATCAAGATTATCCCCCGCCTGCAACATCTCAGAATGGCCGGTGCCGGGGCCACCAAACGAGCAGCGTCCCCCAGTCGCGCCATCTCTCCGCCTCCGGTCAAGCGAAAGGTGGAATCCACCATCACTAGTAAGTCAAGATCATTGTGCAGATTCAGGCCCGGAACTTCATATCGACGAGAGAGTGCTCGGGGTTTTATCTGACGCCATTATAGAGAGAGCTGTGTCCTCGTTTTTCACCCCTGCTTCACAAAAGAAACCCGAGCAGATCACTTGGCGCGTGGTGAACAACAGCGCCATAATAGGTAAGTATGTCGCTGAAGCCGAGCGCAAACAGACGGCCGAAAAGCCCAAAGTCGCTGCCTTTGATCTGGTAAGGGTCGTGAGACTGGACTCAGTTCACAATGAGGGAACCCTCTCCCCATGCTAACCGACGCATCATCGCAGGACTCGACCCTGGTGTCCACAGCATCGGGAAACACATTTCCTAAAAGCTCAGCAGACTGGAAGTGGTGGCATAGTACGGTGCCGACCAAACTCAGAGAGTTAAATGAGAAGGGGTATGTGATGAAATGGCGGAAGCTCTTTCATTGTTACAATAGTCTCCAGTTGCTGATTTCGAAGATATCATGTGATCGTCATAACGAACCAGAAAAAGATCAGCTTGAAAAAGGAGACCAAGGTGGGCAACGGCGACTCCAAAAGTCTTACAAACTTCAAGGAAAGAGCTGCTGCCGTTATGAAGCAACTGGATATCCCAATGAGCGTCTACGCTGCCACAGAAGATGATGGTTACCGGAAACCCAGAACAGGACTGTGGACAGAGTTCCTAGACGATTACGACTTTGACATTTCTGGTGTCGACCTCCGCCATTCTGTTTTTGTTGGCGATGCCGCTGGACGGCCGAGAGACCACTCGCAAGTAGATCGGTGAGCCAGAAACCGAGCATATTCCTTTCCCTCGCTAACGGCGGCTGAAGTGGGTTCGCTATCAATGCTGGACTGTCCTTCAAGACCCCCGAGGAATTTTTCCTGGACGCTGATCCAGAACCACTCGTGGAACCGTTCGACCCGTCCACGTATCTGCAAGAAGCTCCTGGTGACGATGGTATGTCATCTCATGTAGGATGATTGTGAACCCGCCACGGGTCTATCTTCGATATTCAATAACGGACGAAGCAGTGTCGCCTCCCTTTTCCGGAGAGAGCCCACTTGAATTGGTGATCTTCTGCGGCAGCCCGGGAGCGGGCAAGTCAACGTTCTACTGGGACTATTTAGAACCCTTGAAATACGAACGAGTCAACCAAGACCTCCTCAAAAATGTACGTCTATCCTCTTTTACCTTGTTCGAGTTGACTTCACTTTCGTCTGTCTGCATTTGTCAATTTGCATACTCCAATGAGATTCGGGCAGATGAGTCAGAGCACCTCCAAGAAAAAGCAATCAGGGCCCTTCCTGCAGTGTCACGGGTCAGATGGATGTATACGAGGAAAGTCCATATCAACAAGGAAACTGACCAACCGATCGTTTGCGATAGCGCCCTAAGTGCATAAAAGTGGCAAAGGAACACCTTGCAGCCGGAAAGTCTGTGGTGGTTGGTACGTACAGCACACCCCGACCCTTTTCTTGTCGCTCAACCCTCTCGCATGTTACGCGGACATTTCGCAATCATCCAGCCCACACCCTCGTTACTGCTCCAAACCCTTTCTCTGGCCCGCCCACGTCGCAATGTTTGCACCAGACCCAGCAGACCGTGGAGGGCGTCAATTGGATGACTCGTTGACTTTTTGGCGGCATGCCATACTCTACACAGATAATACCAATGCCGACGCAGAGACGAGAGCCCAGTGGGTTGCAGTGGCTAGGGAGTTCAAGGTGCCGATTCGCTGCGTATATTTCACTGCTTCCCCGACCCTCTGCCGGCATAACAATGCGGTCCGTGCCGCTAACCTATCCCTGGTACGTTGCACATCTGGTTTGACTTCCAGTGCTCTTTACGTCATTCGCTCGCTTTCTTCGGAGCGTACAGGGTACAAGACACTCAGTACCTCACAAGTAGCTATCTATCAACTGAAACAGGTTCCTGTTTGGGTCTAGCATACTGCCGACTATGAACTTGGCTTGTCTATCTCATATCACGTGTATCTACCCTCATTGAGCTGTCTGAGCTGTCTGAGCTGTCTGAGCTGCCTTTCCCTTGCCCCAAGCCCTCACTTTCCCACCACCACCACCACCCCCTCCCCAGTTCTCCCTGAAATGTTGGAACCTCACTCTTTCTGTTGATCCTCCATGTTGATTCTAATTCTGCCATGGTGCACCCCGCACCTGTCCTCATTCGAAACCCCCTCCCTCCCTCCCCCACCTATCCCTCTCTTTCTTCCCCAGAAAAACCACGAAATTAGAATCCCAACTGACCACCTCGCCCACATACGGGCACTGCAGAATCCGGAATCCCGTACCCTTCTTCCCGGTATCGCCTTCGGGGACTTCCTTCGTCGTTTCAAGGAGCCTTCCATGGACGAGGGTTTCAAAGATATCATTCGGGTAGAGTTCCAGTTCCGGGGAGATGAGGAAGCAAAGCGTCTTTGGAGCCAATACTGGGTGTAACCAGAGATAAACAGCTTTATCACGAGGCATTGCGCTGCAGTCACTCAGTCGTTCGTTGTATGGGTTTTGCTCGGGCTTGGTCGGTTTTTTTGTTCCGACAAAGCCACCGTCCCCGCCCCCATCAACTGCTAGCTTTGTATCTGCAGGCATCTTCCCAGCAGCGAGGATCAAGAAACTTGTATAGCGGTTCCAGGGAATCCTGGGAGGGTAGGGGGTTTGCAACTATCGTGAATATAAATGTCAATACACTATTTATATGTACAAAAATATGAACATGTTTTGTTTCCTTTGCGAAAGCGTACCCCTCCGATGTCAAAAATTGCATCCAATCAAATTCTATCTGTGTATGTGTGAGGATATAGCTATGTGGACTTTTCTGGGAGAAACGAATCGTTTCAAAATGTATGTCTCAAGGGTATAAGGCGCAAATGCTGCAATACCGAGCCCTCCCCCTTGGTATCTCAACTATTTTCCGTTTCTTTGGTTGATTTCAGAACATGTACCTTGTTCTTTCAGCATGGTCCTCTTGCCACACATCCTGTCCTGCGGACCGAAGAGTTCGGTAGCCAGGAATAACCTGCCACCGCTCTTGTCATGCCTATTAGCACTTTATGTGGCTTTCGCCAGCAAGGCAAGAAACCTGACACCATGAACAAGACATGAATCGCAAAAGCCATGCGTATGCATACAAAGTAATAATGTGGCGGCAGGCGCAGTGCACCACGACCGTTCCATATTGGTCTGAGGCAATAGCCGGAAGGGCACAGATTAACAAGTAGAATCAGGGTTTTCGGTCAATTAAACATCAAGGAATGGACTGCACTCTATGAGACAGTAGTCACAGGTACAAAAACAGGTCATCAGTCATCATTATTGGATCACAGAGTCATAGGCAGAGACGCAAAGAAATCATATGCATTAGTCATCACGCGCTGAATCGAGCGGATCGTTCAAGAGGCGTAGCATTCGTCAGATGTTGTACATCGAATCCTCCCGCAGTAGAGTTTGTGGTCATTAAGTGAAGGATCAGGACCGAATCACGAGATCCTGGAAAAATTTGAAAAGGTTGCGTTTGAGCGAGCGGCTTCGACAAAGGCCTGAACCGCTGACGGCGGGGGCGATCTTCATCGGTCCGACGATCTCGCCGTCGCCTAGTTCGGGAAACTTGTCGTCATGCAAGCGCGGTAATTTGACCGGATGGCAAGGGTCACAGTGCGAACGGACCAAATCTAGTCGCACTCCTTCTGTACCTCTTAGGTGAGAAAGCATTGCTCCATGATGACTCTTCCACTCGCGATTGATCGCCTCCCATTTTTCCTCAGTCAGCTTGTAGATTGTTGAGGTAATACCATAGTGTTCCCCTGTCCGCACAAGATGACGAGCGAAATTGCATTGCGCAAGATCCCAGTTGGTGCGCAGCTGCTGAAGGGAATCCACGTCGATCACTTCGGGCATATAAGGCTCAGGCTGGATAGTGAAATTGGCGTGTCCCAATTTGTTCGCCCATTCATCGTTAGGATCTGAGAGGGTGAATGGGGGCGCATCCCCCGACACTGTCCGGACCGTGCTGGCACGCGGACGACTAAAAGAAGCGACGGACGGCTTCGAAGATAGAGGCGGTGACGGCAAGCCTGCCAATCGCCTGTCCAACACAGTGGGATTGTTCAAGCCATCGTCAGTCATGTCAGCCACAGAAGGTGATTGCAATGGGGAGTGAACACGAGAGACGGCAGGGTAGGATGGTTCATCTCCCATAAAAGGTGGAAGTAATGGGGTTGTTGCCTGCGGACCCGAATCGTCTTGACTGTATCTGCTCGAGCGGACAATATCAATTGGCTGCGTGCCAGACTCGCTGAGTTCCTCCTCAAAAATGGTCCGGGCTGGGGATGGTGGCACTTGAATGGAGCTGACGCGGCTAAACGAGCCTGTCACGGGGTTAACGATGGCTGACGATGCTGAGTTGGTCCGGGAACGCAGGTGCGTTGCGAATGCATCTGCCCCATCAACTCCATCTGAGGCCCGTTTGGATTTCCACATCGTGGAGATGGTGGATATCCGGGAGCCAATACGGGAAAGGCCCTTGGCTGAGACGCTGTCGGAGCATCGGTTCCTGGGCGATTGATTCAAGTCCATGCTAGCATCAGTCAGGTCGTAGCTGTCAGCCGGGTCAAAGGACTCGAAGCCTGAGTCTTCGACCACAGACAGCCCTTGATCGAAGTGCTCTGTGGAAAGAGAGAAAAGTTAACTCAATCCTATCAGCAATTTGAGATGGTAACGCGGGAAAGACTGTCGGGCGGCTACGGGGCTGGCGCAAGGGCGATGACATACGGAAATATTCCTCCTCGAGATCGCGGGGTCGTTCCCCACAGGGCTCTTCCTTTACGCCCGTCAAAGCATTGCGCGAATTACTCTCCATAGAGGTTCCGTGCCCTGGGAACGATACCAACGACGAGACGGAGCTGGAAAACCGCGTGTGGCCTTTGGCCGAAAAAAGAGACACGGCGGGTGAAACGGGGGTAGAAGAGGTGGTGGTCAAGGGCGACTGGGGCTGGCGAAATGAAGAACACGATTCTGCCATGGTTTCAGAACTGTCGCACCACCGAGTGTCGAGGAACTGGGCGGGTTTGAACATAATCGATGGACAGGAACCACCAGGGTGATGAGACCGAGCGTTGACTGAGCGAGAAGAGCGAGCACGAGAAAGGCGATGGTGAGGCTTCCACTTCACGTGCCAGTGTAGGGCAACACGGAGGTGAGGAGTGACGACGCGGAACGCAGGGGAGAAAATGGAGTCAATATGAGACCCGACAAAACATCATCCGAGGAGTGGTGCCCGAACTAAATTGTTTGTTCCAATTGCGCACGATGTGCCAGGCCGAAAGAGAAGATAGAAGAAAGAGCGGGAACCAGAGCAAAGTAAACGTCGAATCCCCCGAGGCACGGCGAGAGGTCAGGACGGGGCTCTCGCTGATGGACTAGGCTCACTACTGGTAGAAGACGTGGCGCGGCGGTGGAATAGATTGAGATGAGTCGAGATGACTTCCACACCAACACCTGGGTAGAATTGACGAATCAACAGGTAAGTAGGTCGAGATGAGGCCGAACAGTTCGTTTGTCTGCCTGTCACGATGCGACTTTTGTTGAATTTGGTTGAAATGACAGGGCCTGGCCACTAGAGGCGAATAGTCGGATAGTCGGGCGAGATGGGAAATGGGGAAGATGCAGTGATTGATGTAAAGGATGTTGAGAACGAAAGGCAATGGCCGACGTGGAGCCTGTCAAGACACACGAATGACGAACAAGTGGCCGAGGATGAGAGAGGGTGGTTGGGTGAAGCCCAAAAACGCACGGCGGAAACAGCCAAGTGTAGGCTGCCGGCAATCGGCGGGTGTTGGAGGAGGGGAGGAGGGGGGGGAAGAAGGTGGTGGTTTGCGGTGAGAGAAAGAGGGCCAGGAACAGAATCCTTCCGTTAATTAAAGGTGGGAGGAAGCGGGAAAAAAATCCAGAAGAGGGGGAAAGAAGAAGGGAGTAGAGGAGGAATGAAGAAAGAGGAGTCAGAAAGGAAGAAACTGAGGGAAACAACAATGTTGGGGGGGAGGGGAAAGGGAGGAGGAGGAGGAGAAGAAGGAGGAGGAGGAGGAGGGGAGAATTAGAGATGGATGAGGATGGATGATGGATGAGAAACAACAGCAACAGTGACCATAATAATCATCAGAGAGGAAAAAGCATAGACAAAATATCTTCTGAATTGAAAAGTTTCTAACAAAACATGGATTCGATAATGAATCAGAATTCTACAACTAAACTACACACAGTCACCATCTACTAAAAATAATAGTATTAAGTAACCACTTAATCACAATAAAATCCACCGGATCAATCAATTCCAGAAGGGTTGATGGATATTCTAACCACCAAATCACCAGTCATCTTGCCTCTTGTCATACTTAACAGTCTTTAGTCTATTCCTTCGTCTCTACAGAGTACTTCCTTTCTTTTTCTTTTTCTTTAATTCTTGTTTCTTGTTTCTTGGTTTTTTTTTTTTTTTTTTTTTTTTTTTTTTCCTTCTCTTGCTTTCCTAAGAATCAACCTTTACGACATTTTTGCCTTCGGCTCCAGTCAAAAACCATGGATCGAGAGACAAACCGCATTGTCACTGGTGCTTTGAGTGGCCAAGCTCTCTGATGTCTCCATGGAAGAATTTTTCTTGCATAGTTGATCCAGCTATCTGACAGGCCAGCCTCAGGGTTTTCTGCACTATCATGACCGGGAGGGGGTGAATCGTGACTGACAGAAAGTACTTATAACTAATCACAAGATTGAAACTAGCAAAAAAAAAAAAAAAAAGCCAACGAGGGAAAGAGAAAGAGAGAGAGATTATACAGAATTGAAACACACACCATAGTGAGCAGATAAGATTTTTTATCTAGAGATTGTATCAGGTACTGAGCTGAGTACTCCGACTGTACTGTGCTTTTAGATTGTGCAATTGCAGCATGCTCCATCTCGCTCCGCAGTAAGCGAGCCCATGGATCCGGCTTTTTCTCCCCCACGGCTCTCGCCCTTGTTCTCTGGGCTTCTCCCATCATCCTGGCGCCGGAGAAGAGACACGGTCGAATAACTACTCCGCGGAAAGAGAAAGAAGGTTGTTGCCTCGTTGTTTGTTCCTGAGGAAATCTGTGAATAAGATTTCAGGTACAAGGACAAGTACGGAGTACTTTAACCTACCTGGTACCTGTAACTTTACCTGGAAAAGGGCTGACAGATCGATCAACGATCAAATGATCTATCTATCTTGTCCTCCAGCTGTCTGAGACTCCCTCAGATACGTTTCAACGGCGGCAGCGCATCGTTGTGAAAGGGAGATCGACACCGCCGACGGACGAAGAGAAAGAGGAGAATGGGTGTGAGGTAGAGTCTAGATTCTCACCGACTCGACTGGTCCAACACAGCGCGACCCTATCTAATGGACACAAGGTACCAATGTACCCCAGTGGCTG